AACCAGCCTGACAAACATGGTGAAACCCTGTCTCTACCAATAATACAAAAATTATCTTGGCATGGTGGTGTGCACCCGTAATCCCAGCTACTCAGGAGACTGAGGCAGGAAAATCACTTGAACCCAAGAGGCAGAGGTTGCAGTAAGCCAAGATCATGCCACTGCACTTCAGCCTGGGCTACAGAGCGAGACTTCATCTAAAAAAAAAAAGAAGAAGAAAGAAAAATAAATATATAAATAAATAACTGTAGGTTTTCTAAGTAAGGGTCACCCAGGGAAACTATTTTATTTGAGACAGGGTCTCCGTCTGTTGCCCAGGGTGGAGTGTAGTGGCTTCATCAGAATTTGCTGCAGCTTCAAACTCTCAGACTCAAGCTATCCTCCCATCTCAGCCTCTGGGACTACAGGCACAGGCCACCATGGCCAGCCAATTTTTATTTATTTTAGTAGACATGAGGTCTCACTATGTTAGCCAGGCTGGTCTTGAACTCCTGGGCTCAAGCACTCCGCCCACCTCAGCCTCGCAAAGTGCTGGGATTATAGGCATGAGCCACCACATCCAGCTAAGATGAGTATTTTTGATCAGTCACATATCCCTTTGTCCCTTTCCCCATCTTTACCATTTACTTAGCTTACTTTTTGGTATAATCCATGTTCGTTGCTTTTGTTACTATTAGGTAAATACTGTTACCTGTTGAATCAGCTAGTATATAATAATTACACTTATTTTTACATATAATTTTTTATTTCTCCTGAGGTTAATGTTTGCCTCCCTTTTATTATTTGTTTTGTTGTCTTTGAAATTGACTAAATATTCCCACAGTCTCCAGCAGTTCAATAAAAGACTTTTTCTTTTTTTTTTTCGAGATGGAGTCTTGCTCTGTTGCCCAGGCTGGAGTTCAGTGGCTCAGTCTCGGCTCACTGAAACGCTGCCTCTCAGGTTCAAGCAATTCTCCCTGCCTTAGCCTCCCACGTAGCTGGGACTACAGGTGAACACCACCATGCCTGGCTAATTTTTGTATTTTTAGTAGAGATAGGATTTTACCATGTTGGCCAGGCTGGTCTCAAACTCCTGACCTCATGATCCACCCACATCTGCCTCCCAAAGTGCTGGGATTATAGGTGTGAGCCACTGTTCCTGGTCCAGTGAAGGACTTTCAATTCAATTTTACCCATGTTCAATCATGTTAATAATTTGTCAGTTTTTTTTCTCAGAACTTCCCCTCTTCCCCCAGATTCACTCCAATCTGGATAGAGACTGCACAGCCATTGTCCTTCAGTTTCTCTGTCATCAACCTGAAGAGTCCCTTCTGTCTTATTTGTGTAGCCCGTTTTCTGTATTCCCAGAGTTTGTTTCCTGGTTTATGCTCACTTTTTGTTGAAGCATGTCCTCCAGTAATTTATGGGAAGTAATTTTTGGGGACTTCTTAAGCCTGAAATTGTCCTTTTTCTACCCTCATGCTTTATTTATGATTTATCAGTATAGGCTTCCAAGCAGTGTCCACCATGGCTGCTGAGAAGTTTGGGGCCATTTTGATTCTTGACCCTGCTTTTTCTTCCCTCTCTCTGGAAGCTCTTAGGAGTCTCTCTACCCTTGGGTTCTGAAATGTCAGGTCCAATGTATGTGGTTCAGATGGGCTGACTCCATTCCTGGATCTGGAGTTGGGCATGTGACCCAGCAGGTCCAATCAGTGTGTTCCATCCTCCCTGGCCACAGCAATTAATTTCAGGATGGGCACATGACCCAATCTGCCACTGAGACTTACTTCTCACACTTTGATTTGGACTGGTATGAACAGAATTTGTTTTGTACCTGGAAGAATATAAGCCTATCATAGCTGAGGATCTCCATGAAGAGAAGGCCTTTCTGAAAGAGAAGTTTAGTTATATCTATTTCTGTGTAACAAATTACCCAAAAACTTGATGACTTCAAACAACAAACATTTATTGTTATCCAGGCACGCTTAGCTGGGTGACTCTTCCTTAAAGCCTCTCACAAGGCTGCAATCAGGGTGTTAGTTGGCCTTGCAGTCTCATCTGATGGCTCAGCTGGGAAGAATCTGCTTTCATTCACACTCATGTGGTTATTAGCAGAATTCAGTTTCTTGTTGAATTTAGGACCTCGGTTCCTTACTGGCTGTTGGCCAAAGGGCTCCTTCAGTTCCTTACCATGAGGGTCTCTCCTTAGGGCAACTCACAACATGGTAGGTGGCTTCCATCAGAGTGAGAGCAAGCAAAACAGAAGCCAGAATCTTCTTGTAAACTACTCATGGAAATGATATTCCATCATTTTGCCATATGCTAGTCATTAGAACAAATTACTAGGTCAGGCCTACATTGAAGAGGAGGGGATTACAAAACAGCATGAATAACAGGAGGTGGGAATTGTTAGGAACCATTTTATTATATTAATTTTTAATTTATTTCTTAGAGACAGGGTTTTGCTCTGTCACCTAGGCTGGAGTACAGTGGTAGCAATCATAGCTCTCTGCAACCTTGAACTCCTGGGCGCAAGCAATCATCCTGCCTCAACCTCCTAAGTAGCTATGACTCCAGGCATGCACCACCATGCCAAATAGTTTTTGTTGTTGTTTAATTTTTTGCAGACAGGGTCTATGTTGCCCAGGCTGGATTCAAACTCCTGGTGTCACGCAATCCTCCTGCCTCAGCTTCCCAAAGTGCTGGGATTACAGGCGCCTGGCCATTGGAGCCATCTTAGAGGAGGCCTATCACAGAAGCCAATATTGAGGTAAACAGAACTGAGAGCCAAGACGTGACCAAGTCTGGTGACTTCACTTCAGCCCTTGAATGTTGCTTTTAGGTTTTGTCACTTGCAATATTCTGAAATGTGCTAGAATGACTGCCCAAACATTAGGGGGAACAATTCATACCCATTTGCCCAGGACTTTCTTGGTTTTAACACTGAAGGTCCTATATCTTGGGAAACTCCTATATCCCAGGTAAATTGGGACAGTTGACACCTGACACAGTAGTCATTTGACGACCAAAATTAAACCAATGAAGCACCAAAGCAGCTTGCTCAGGATTCTGTGGCATGGTACTATAGAAAACATGGACTCTGGAGTAAACTTTGGATTCAAATTCTGACACTATCACTAACTAGCTGTGTGGCTCTGGGCAACTCACCTCACCTGTTTTCTCACCAATAAAATAGGCATCCGAATCTCTACGTTGAAAAATGCCCATGTGGACTGGAGGGAATTTATGTAAAAACATGGTTATCTCAACAAATGGTACTTTTCATCATTATAAGTATTTTGAGGTTCTCAACTAACTGTAACTTTTTTCAGACAAGACACATGGGAATTTCCTGGGTCTTAGATCCCAGTTTGATATTCAGATGCTGTAGCTATGTGCCAGGGCCTGTGGAGGTCCATCTGATTTCCCTAGGGCAGAGCTGCTAGAAAAATAATGCTTAGGTTTTCATAGAGTCATTGGGCATGTTTGATAATGCAGAGCCAATCAATCAAAGCCATTTCTCTGTGTGTGTGTTTTTTGGAGAAAAGGTCTCACCCTTTCACCCAGGCTGGAGTGCAGTGTGTGATCATAGCTCACTGCAGCCTTAAACTCCTAGGTTAAAACGATCCTCCTACCTCAGCCCCTAGTAGCTGGGATCACAAATGTGTGCCCCCATACCCAGCTGATTTTCTATTTCTTTTTTTTCCTGTATCGCCCAGGCTGGAGTGCAGTGGTGCAATCTCGGCTCACTGCAACCTCTGCCTCCCAGGTTCAAGCAGTTCTCATCCCTCAGCCTCCCAAGTAGGTGGGATTACAGGCGTCTGCCACCATGCCCGGCTGATTTTTTTTTTTTGAAATGGAGTCTCACTGTTGCCAAGGCTGGAGTGCGGTGGCGCAGTCTGGCTCACTGCAACCTCCACCCCCCTCAGGTTCAAGTGATTCTCCTGACTCAGCCTCATGAGTAGCTGGAATTACAGGCACCTGCCACTATGCCCAGCTAACTTTTGTATTTTCAGTAGAGACGGGGTTTCACTGTGTTGGCCAGGCTGGTCTCGAACTCCTGACCTCGTTATCCACCCATCTTGGCCTCCCAAAGTGCTGGGATTATAGGTGTGAATCACTGCGCCTGGCCTGTTTTTTTTTTTTTTTTTTTTTTTTTTTTTGAGACAAGAGTCTTGCTCTGTCACTCAGGCTGGAGTACAGTGGCACAATCTTGGCTCAGTGCAACCTCTGCCCTTCTGAGTTCAAGTCATTCTCCTGCCTCAGGCTCCCAAGTAGCTAGGATTACAGATGTGCACCACCACACCCAGCTAATTTTTGTTTTTCAGTAGAGATGGAGTTTTGCCATGTTGGCCAGGCTGGTCTTAAACTCCTGACCTCAAGTGATCCACCTGCCTCAGCCTCCCAAAGTGCTGGGATTACAGACGTGAGCCACTGTGCCCAGCCAATTTTTGTGTTTTCAGTAGAGACAGGGTTTTACCTTGTTGGCCAGGCTGGTCTCAAACTCCTAACCTCAAGTGATCCACCCGTCTCGGCCTCCCAAAATGCTGAGATTACAGGCGAAAGCTACCATGCCCGACCCCAGCTAATATTTAAAAAAAAAAACACAACTTTTTTTGAGATGGAGTCTCACTATGTTGCCTAGGCTGCCTGGGCTCAAGTGATCCTCCCACTTTGGCCTCCCAAAGTGTTGGCCTCATTGGCATGAGCCATCATGTCCTGCTGGAGTGTGTACTTTTATAATGTTCCCAACTGATGCTGATGAAGGCAGTCCACAGACCACACCGAGAAACCAGACACCAGGCCACCTGTCTACAGGTCATAAAAATAAAGCCCCTAGCACACGCCTGCTACATGGTTTGTGCCCAGGAAATAGCACCAGAGAGACCATGCAAGTCGCTCTAGACCCACAAGAGAACTGATGCTCGCTCAGTCCTATGCAGTCTTGGGTGTCACATACAGATCTCCCCTGCTCTGCCCCTAGCCTTCCCAGGGGAAGAGAATAAATAACAGTGGCAACATTTTCATTTTATAAGCACTTGGTTTTATTGCACAGAAGCAATTGAAAGTGGACTCCAGTGGAAAGTGCGCCCTGGCATAATTCAGTGGCCAGTGCCCAGCCCCACCTCGGTCGCTCCTCCAGAATAGAGCTCTGGGCAAGGGCTTGACCACTCCTTTGGAGAACAGAAGGCATTTGGGAATAGGTTAAGACATCTCAAGCATAATGTGTTCTAACTGCTCATTCATTATTGCGGTCATCTGTCAGTTGCACATAGAGGCAATAAATGCACTTATTTGGAAAGAGGGGCAGTTTTTATAGTCAAGTGTTTAAGTGTGGCATTCGGCATATATCACATTCAGCTACATAAGCTATCATAACTTAATTGTCCATCACCTGGGGAGGGTGTGGGGGCAGGGGGCTGGGAGTGCCCTCTCTTGCTAACGTACTGCTAACAGGAATTCCTGTTTGAAGAAGGAGGCCCCGTCATCTTAGCAGTTTCTTCTTACATAAAGAGAGAAAAAGTGAAAATTATGTTACTCTGATCCTTGAGCTCCGGGGCCCTTCTGAGTTTCTTCGGCTGCTCCGGACATTTCTTTCTCCCTGCTTTACTTCCCCTTGGCGGCTTTGTCTTCTGCGGCCTTCTCTGGAGGCCTGCTGTCTTTTTGGTCTGTGCTGGAGGATTTTTCAGCCTTTTCCGCCTTCAGTTTGCTGGGCTCCTTTGAGAGGGTCTTGTCATCCTCCTTGGCTTTGGCCTCTGTCTTGGGTTTCTCATCAGGCTTCTTGGCCTCGGTGGCCTTCTCCTCCTTGCTGTCTTTTTTCTCCGGTGCTGCCGCGGCCGCCTCCTTCTCTGCTGGTTTGCTGGGTTCCTTGGCCTTGGCATCATCTGTCTTCTCTTTGGGTTTAGCGTCTTCCTTCATCGCCGCCTTGGCAGGAGCCTCCTTCTCTGGGGTGGCTGCCTTTTTCTTATCTTCAGCCTCTTCCTTTTTGGCTTCGACTTTGGATTCTTTGGGCTTTTCAACGGCAGGTTCCTTCTTTTCCACCTCAGGCTTTGCAGCCTCCTTCTTGGGTGCCTCCTCTTTCTTGCTGTCCTTCTCCGTTTTTGGTGTGGTGGGAACTTTCTCTTCTTCTGCCTTCTTTGGGGGCTCTTTGACTTTCACCTCCTGGGGCTTCTCCTCCTTCACTGGGGACTTCACCTCTTCCTTCTTTGGGATCTCCTTCTCAGGGGCCTTGGCATCCTCCTTCAGGGGAGACTTCGCCTTCTCTGGGGACTTGACCTCCTCCTTGACGGGGCTTTTGGCCTTTTCGGGGGATTTGTCTGCAGGGGACTTTGCTTCCTCCTTTGCTGGGGTCTTGGCTTCTGGAGACTTCACATCAAGAGTCTTGGCCTTCTCAGGGGACTTTGCTTCTTCCTTCACTGGGGACTTGGCCTTCTCAGGGGACTTTGCTTCTTCCTTCACTGGGGACTTGGCCTTCTCGGGAGACTTGACTTCAGCTGGAGATTTTGCTTCTTCCTTCTCTGGTGACTTGGACTTCTCGGGGGACTTGGCCTTTTCAGGGGACTTGACCTCAGCTGGAGATTTTGCTTCTTCCTTCACTGGGGATTTGGCCTCAGCCGGTGACTTTGCCTCTTCCTTTGCTGGGGACTTGGCCTTCTCTGGAGACTTGGCCTCTACTGGTGACTTTGCCTCTTCCTTTGCTGGGGACTTGGCCTTCTCTGGAGACTTGGCCTCAGCCGGTGACTTTGCCTCTTCCTTTGCTGGGGACTTGGCCTTCTCGGGGGACTTGGCCTCAGCTGGAGATTTTGCTTCCTCTTTCTCTGGGGACTTGACCGCAGCTGGTGACTTTGCCTCTTCCTTCGCTGGGGACTTGGCTTCCTTCTCTGGGGATGCAGCCTCTTCTGCTGGGGGAGACTTTGCTTCTTCTCCCCGTTCTGCCTCCTCCTCTTCAGCCCCTTCTTCCTCCTTGCCCTCCTCCTCTTTGGCCTCTTTCTCCTCTTCTTCAGTCACTTCTTCAGTAACTTGGGTCTCCTCTGTCTGTTCCTCCACAATCACAGTTTCTTTCTCAGACTTTTCTACCACTTTGATCTTCTCTTCACTTTTGACCTTTATGTGAGTGGACACGGAGGGAATTTTGGGGAGTCCTTCTGCAAGTGAGAAAGGAATTGGGCCAAAGCCAATCCGACACTCTTCACCTTCCAGGAGTTTTCTGCAGGATGCATAATGGAACACATTACTATAAACCCAGAACAAATTTACTGCTTGGGTTCTTCCTAGATTATCCTGAAGGTCATTGACATCAAATGATATGGATTTTGGTGGAACAGGAATATGAACAGTGGGCACTCTGAGACTGGAGAAGGTCACTTGGCAAATCATCCCAGTGACCACCCAGAGTGTGTACCCCAGTGGGACTGGTCTTTTTTTTTTTTTTTGAAACAGGGTCTCACTCTGTTGCCCAGGCTGGAGCAAAAACAGGGTCT